CTCAACCGCAAGGATCCGATCGCAGTGTGCACCGCTGGACCTCAACCAGCCAAGTAGATTGCCAGATAGAATGCTGCAAGAAGATATGCACTGCCAGATAGTATGCCAAATAGTGTGCAGATAGATTGCTAGATACATTGCCAGATAGAACGCCAGAAAATATGCCAGATAGAATGCCAGACAAAATGCCAGATAGAATGCCAGACAGTATGCCAGATAGTATGCCAGATAGATTGCCAGAAAGAATGGCAGATTGAATGGCAGATAGTATGCTTCAAACACACAACCACAAACACAACCACAAGCTCACAACCACAAACACAACCACAAACACACAAATACAAACACATAACCACAAGCACACAGCCACAAACACAACCACAAACACGCAACCACAACCACAACCACAAACACAACAACAAACACAACCACAAACATAACAACAAACACACACCCACAAAGACACAACAATCGACACACAACCACAGACACACAACCACAAACACTCAACCACAAACACACAACCACAACAACAAAACCACAAAGACACAACCACAAACACACAACCACAACAAAACCACAAAGACACAACCACAAACACACAACCACAAACACAACCACAAACATAGCAACAAACGCACACCCACAATCACACAACAATAGACACACAACCACAAACACAACCACAGGACACAACCACAGCACACAACCACACACAACTACAAACATAACAACAAACACACAACCACAAAGACACAACAATAAACACACAACCACAAACACAACCACAAACACACAACTACAAACACAACCACAAACACATCCACAAACACACAACCACAAACACACAACCACAAACACAACCACAAACACGCAACCACAAACACGCAACCACAACAACACGACCACAAAGACACAACCACAAACGTACAGCCACAAGCACAACCGCAAACACATCCACAAACACACAATCACAAACACACAGCCACAAACACAATCACAAACACAACCACAACCACAACACAGCACACAACCACAACCACAACACACAACCGCAGCACACAACCCGAGGACCCACAAGCAAAATCGAGAACTACAATACTCACGACCATGGCAACATGCTCCTCACTATGGCATCAAGTCAAATGATTTGTCATGGTGGGGATCACTCGAAGTAAAGTAATTGTTATTTCTTTTCTGTATGTTTATTTGATGATTTGTCTGTCTTTGTTTCTTTATTTCTTTCTTTCTTGCTTTCTTGCTTGCTTTCTTTCTGTCTGTCTTCTTTTATTTATGTCTTTCTTTATTTGTTCTTTCTTTCTTTATTTATTGTTTATTCGTTCATTCTGTCTTTCTTTCTTTCTTTTTGTCTTTCTTTCTTTCTCTCTCTCTCTCTCTGCCTCTCTCTTTCTCTCTCTCTCTCTCTCTCGTTCTTTTTGTGCCCAATGGGCAAGAACAAGCACACAATCCACACCAGAAATAGAAACAAGACATATGGAGCATAATCCGAGGAAGTACGTTCTTTGCGGAACACTGACAAGCAGCTGATCGGAATATAACATATACCAACGCCCTCTGAGCCTTTGCTCTAATCTAAGTTTATCTCGCCACATGGCAACTACAGTGCTGCTGCTTAGCTGCTAGACAACTGCTACAGTAGTTGCTAACTACCTCACAATGGATAAGCAGTGAGCCCTGTGGGGCACAGTGGGCCCTGTAAAGCACCAGATCTCCGGTAGTAATCTGGGCCTCCCTGCGTAGATCATCCGCTGAGTCCAGTCTGATTGGCCCGGCCGTGTCGAACTCATCATGGGGCTCAAACCCACGATGCCTCCGCGCGTGCCCTGGTAGAGGATGTTCCTGACATCTAGGAAGCGACCGCAAAGTGCTCATGCTCCCAAAGGAAAAAACACTATACACACGGTCTCGGGTCTGGGTTTGATGTTCCTTTGTGCCAATGTGCCGGTGTGTGTCCCTGAGCCAGACCCGACCACATGGCTGGCCGGCCCCCTCACTTCTTCCAAGCATCCGCAGTCGGACTCTCAAACCAACAGATCTCCCCAAACGTTGTGTGTTTGGTGGGGGAACAGTGGTCTTTTCGGCTTGCGAACACCTCACCCAGTCCCCGGTTCCCCGGTTCCAACTCTAGAAGAGTCAATATTCCCCCGGCCCTCGACTCTTTTCAAGCCAAGCTGGAAAGTTGTCTTGTGGGCATGCTGGGAAATGCAGACTTGTTCACCCCGGGATTCGAACCACGATTGTTTTACTAAGGATTTTACACTACACCACCAGGTCAACCATTCTTGTAATGGTCTTTGAAGGCTACGGTTCAGTTATAGCCCGTACCTGTGCGGTACCGTGGTCTGTTCTTGCAACTTTGAGTCCTCCGAGGTTTCTTCTGTAGATTCCCGACCTTCATTGTCCAAACCCAGCTAAAGTCCAACACGCAAAATAAAACGCGCGGCATCAAAGTTCGCCAAGTGTCTCTGTGCAAATGAGGATGCTCTCATCGCAAAAATTGTGGAAATCTTCTCGGAAAAAGCCTCGACTCGCGCATCAAGCACTCTCTCCCTTAATGAGCAGGCTGGCCCTTCTTGTATCCCTTGGCATTATGGTCATCGTCACCACTTCCAGTCAAAGGTAGCCTGATAAACCCCCCTAGATGGAGATATGTAGAAGCATTCTGGTAGGGTGTCATTAAACAGCAGAATGTCTCAGACATTTTGTCATACACGATCACATGGGGCAGCTTCAAACTGCCCCGAACCAAAGGACACCACATTACAGATCCCCGGTGAACCAGGGTAAGGAGGGTTTACCAGGCATTCTATAGGAAAATACCCTCTATAGAATGGATTGTCCAGCCTTACATACCATTTTATAGACCATCATTCACCGGGGATCATTACAGTATATAGAGAGATCGATTCGTGACGACTTTGTGTATGTGATTTTTCACTCTCGTTGCCGCGACCGGGGAAACTCTCGTTGCCGCGACCGGTCGAGCAACATGCTCAAACCACGTTTCACGGTGGATTCGTGAGCGCGTGATCGTATATAGTAGTTATTAATTAATATTAATTAGTATCGTATCTTCTCATCAGGAATGCGATGTCAAAAGCACCAGTTGCAGCATCCACTTGAACCAAAAAGCCTCACTTGCTCAGTCACCGAGAAACGTCAACTTCTATATCAGGCCCCTGATCATCGCCACCCAAAACGGAGACCTCCGGGGCCCGAAACGCTTCCACTCGCGGCCACTCGCGACCCAGGGGCGAAAGCCGATCGCCGCATAGACGAAGGTGATAATCAACAACCTGAGCCAGCAACAGTCGGGGCGCCCCAACTTAAAGGGCGCCCCAAACGTAGAAAAAGGTAAACAAACATCATACCTCCAAGGGGTGTCCAATGGACTACCCCACACTACCTATAGGCTTCCATTGGGCACCCCTTGGAGGGTCCTGGTATACTGTATGATACCATACTGCATATATCATCACAGTGGAAGAGCATGACGAAGCAATAAAGACATGTAGCATCCTGGAGTTGCTTGTGCAGAATCCACTCTGTACAAGTGTACTGTCTGATGGAATGCACACACACACACACATATATATATATATTATATTATTATATGTTATATTTTAAAGTACATGCGCGTGACGTGATGATACGCGCATGTACCTGCTACAGAACTGCCATCATCTGGTATTACATCAGCTCAGCGAACGTGGATGGTTTACATCAGCTGATGCCATCGCCGAATCCAGGTACGAACGTGCACACTGTGACATGTGAGATATATAGAATACCGATGAGGTCATCCTTTCAGGGTTTGGGTCATCCTTTCAGGGCGGGTGCACCAAAAACGCCCGTCTCATCTGACCACCCACAGTCTGGATGGTCGGGCCATCCTGTCATTCGTGTGTTTTGTTTTGAGATGGTTGGGCCATCCTGCTTCATGTAAGGGGCGAAGGCCTAAAAGTAAAAATCCCAACGCACTTGCTGAAATCCTTAGGGATAGGGATACAAGTACCTTCTCAGAAGGTACTTGGACCCTCAAAACCTACATAAGAGTGTCCCCAATCACCTTCTGAGAAGGTACTTGGATCCGGGAATGTTGCCCAACCCTGGCAACGCAGAAACACCAAAACAGGTGAGTCTCGGTCGGACGCTGCTCGTCCGTTCCGAACACCGATCACCGGAACCCTGTCATTGTGAGCCTTTGCACCTGCCTTTGCACCTGTGCATCTGTGCAGACCTGATGCACGGCCTAAGGATGGGAACCGGATAAAGAATCGATCACCCTAGGCAACTCGTTCAAAACCCCCCCTGGTGGGCTGGTGGGATCATCGAGTGCTGCCCTGAGCGAAAGGGCCTACCCAGCAAGTCCACACGCGCTTTACACAACTTCAACGCAACCAACGGAACCCAAGAGTCAGTCGAGAATTAGTCACAACATGTCTCAACAACAACCAACCCCAGTATATTATATATATGTAATATGCGTATACTTGTGCATATACTTACAACTAACTCAACCAATTAACGCATCAACAACGTTGCACACATCTCCGCTCTCTTCTGACCAGCGGACGGTCATGCCCAGGCACCCCAGGAAGGTCATGGCCAAGGACTTCAGCGGCGACGCGATGGCGCGGAAGACCGTGGCCAGCACGGCGGATTGGCACCAAAAGTCCATGAGAATGAACGCGTTCAACCAGTAGTGCCTGCACCGTGGAAGTCTTCCCCCTGCGGTTCTTCATGCGCCGTGGAAGAACCCCTTGGGCTGCGGCTGCGAGTCGCAGGTGGCGGCGAGGTGTGGAAGAAGCCGCGGGGATTGGGGAGGCCAACCGGGAACATCTCAGGTTTTGGGGGTTGGGGAGCTCCCGTGGTTCCTTCTCTTTCGGATGAATGGGGGAATGTATGGCATACTGCTGAGGACCAGCTAGGCCCCAAGAACCAGAAAGCTCTTCCGCGCTCGCGCTTGTGCTGAAGCTATGGCTGCTTCAGCCATGCTTGGCTTCGCTTGGCAGGGCCCGATGTCGGGGAACCCCATGGCGCTGCCGACTCGGCGCAGCCGCGGGACCCCTGCCCATTCGGGCCACATGGAGGGCCCCCGGCCCAGCGGGTTGGTATTCGGAACATGGTCGAAACCAAGGAAGCGGTCTTTCTTCTCGGGTTCCATGGGATCGTTCGCGGGAAGAAGTGCATCATGCCTACTAATTATAATCAATATTCCAAGGTACTATGGTTCTTGAAGACGTACTACTAATATATCAATCTCTGGGGGGTACTAATATATATATATATATATATCTCAATATTCTAAGGTTTTTGAAGTACCCCCGAGTCATCCGGCGGTTCGAGTCTCTTTCGTGCGGAAGTACCTCGGCGAATCCGTCCCGGGCCTAAAGGTGAAGGCACAGAAGCAGCACAGCAACCTGGGCGTGACGGGACCACCGGTGGCTGTTGCTGGGAAACCCCACCACCCAAACCAGCCAAAGGGTGGGGGAACCCTTGGAGCCGTCGTTGGCTCCCTGTTGAATGGGGAATATGGGTATACCCGACTCCTTAGCTAGGGCTGTGCTGATGTAAGGGTGGAAGTGAAGCCTAATTACTGTACACTGTACACATGTTCCCCGGGGATAGCCTCCAGTAGGACTCTAGGGGTCCTTAGCTCCTTAGCTCACCAGTCTCGTCTCATCCAGTCTCGTCTTCCAACGATCCGTTCGACCATGGAGCGCTCTGGAAAGCAGCCGAGTCGAACTCAGATCTGGCGGCAGGTTTTGGTGGAACCTTCCACTGAGTTTGGGGCAAACCTGGTTTGGACCACCGAGGGCTGAAGTCCTCTTGCAAATCTGGACTGCCTCCCAAGTAAGTCAACCTTCTCCATCTGCAGCTTTTGGCAAACGAAGGGGCAAACGCGTACCACCAGGACGGATGCACTTCAAGATCTGAGTGGCCAATTTAAATACATGAAGCAATGCATGAATGACATGGGTGCAAGAATCAAACAAATCTGAGACTGCACATGCTGCGGGAACCAAGTGTTACTTCCGGTGCGTTCATCAAGTGTTGCTTCCAAACCCATGAGCGCGAAACCCGCACGACTTCAAGCGGTTTAACGGCCTACGGGATTGAAGGCGGGTCACAAGAGAATCCGCCAGGCTACTTGTCCGTCACGGAGCAACCTGCCAGCGCAGCGGGCTGCTGGCGCCATTGTTGTGGGAAAACATGGGAAAACCTTCCTGCAACTACAGTCATTAGTTTGGCAGGTGCCAGTGGTTTGCCCTGTAAGTGTTTCAATGAAAATACGCCGCCGGCACAACAATAACAAACACATGCGTCAACAAAAAAAATCCAAAAGCAACACAATATCTATCAACATTTGAATAGTATGTACGTGTATATATATATATATACTATATACCCTAGAAGTCCAAAGACTATATTTTGACCGGCTGAAGTAAAGGAAGTTCCCTTTCAGGTCCCCTAAAGACCATTCTTTTTATAGTCTTTGACTCCCAGGGTATATATCTATTATATGTGGTAAATTGTTGTAAATACAGTATATTCGCTCGTATATTCTTTGGTGGGGAGTCCTTGATGCTTGGCCCCCAGCCCCTACAGATGTTCCACCTGTTCCAAGGCCGAAGAAGACTCCCAGGAATGCATTGCCATCGCAAAGTGCGAAAGTATAGAATACCGTCAAACGTGGTGGGTGAGTGGTTCAAAGTGGCGGTGGGGTTAATATGGTTTAATACCATATATGATCCTCGATTAAAAGTGGTGGGCGGTTTCAACTCACGAACGCAAAAAGTACATATGAGTCAGTGGGTTCATGTGGACGTGCCGAACGAACCGAGGATAGATATGGAGCAGATCGGATGGACAGAGGTGGGACATCTCACATCCACTCGCCAGATGGGACGACCAACACCACGATATCTTTCAGGTTTCCCGTCTTGATCCTCTGCTCTCTACACAATATGGGATTGGGTCCCTCGACCTGTGGATAAACGAGCGGGGACCCTCGGGATTCTAGCCAGGCTAGTGGGCGGAGGATCGTCTTGCCCCTGGTCTCCAAAAAAATAAAAGTTCTCCCAACGCCTCGACGAGGCATAGGCCCCCAGCACCACCCGGGGGATGGCGAAGCGTTGGTGGCCCTGAAGCATCACCTCCTCTGCATGCGCCGTGGTCAAGGCATCTGTCGGGCGATTCGTCACGTCCCTCTATCAGAAGAAAAGGCCCGGATCGCTTGGAATCTGGATTGATCAAGTCCTCGCATTTGGATTGTAAACCTCTTCATTAATACGGGGTTGGACACCCCATATAGGTCCTAGGTCCCAAAATGAATGAACATGCAGCAAGCTGCCCGTGGAGAATCAAGGTTGATCGAACCTTCCCACCGGTTCTTCTTTTAAAGACCATGCCCCCAAAAAGCTTAGGGGCCCAAAACTGGCTCAACAGATATCCACTTCTCTCCTGGATTGAAAACGAAGGTCTCTCTGCTCCGTCAATTGTGGTGTCACTGGCATTACGGAAGTAAGTGGATGACATGCGGCATGGCCCGTGGAGAGCTAGTGGTCTCTAGTCTCTAGCAACCGTTTTATTCTCCGTTTCAACCAGTCTCCCTTGCATCTTCATTTGCCTCTTGTGCGACATTCCTTCAAACAGTTCTTGGCCACAGCGCAAAAGGAGTGGACCCAACAGCTTGCCACTGGCAAAACGAACAAAGAAAGGACCAAAAGTGTCTGGGTTTCAGGACTTGGGCCACCTCCCTTTTGCATGCACCCAGTGTAGCAGTATGAAAACCATATGAAACAATATTGACACCCATGGAGCCTCCTCACACCGCTTCAGCCGGGCGGTTGCAGCATCTCTGGCCTCCACTTCGTACATCACGATGGGCAGCTTGATGGCAATGGTCAGAAGCAACCAGAGCGCCGTGCATGTGAAGTACAGGCAACTCAAGGAGTGTGCCACCTGAGGTGCGCATGTGCCGGGCGCCCGCCGGTGCGCCATGCCGGCCCGCTTGTGCTCGGCTTCCCACTCCCCAATAGGAAGAGATAATATTATATGATTTATTTACTGCAAAAAGGTGTGTTCACCCTCTCGCTTGTTTATAGCTGCCGCTGCATGCGGCATAAGTATGCATAAGTGCTGTAGCATGCCATCATCCGGCACTTGAAATCTGCCAGAGCCAGCTCTACTTGGTCCTCCCCTGTCTGTGTCCGTGCCGAGCCACAAACTCCGCTCTGGGCGAGCTCCACTTGGCGTGCAGCCCATGCAGTTTGTCCTCTTCATCGCCCGGCACCAGAAACCTCGGGCCGGCAGACCCACGCCGGGCGAACGGGGGACGGTCGTGGGCCCTGGGCCGTGGAACACGAACACCAAGGGTTTGGGGCTTCGGAATGGGAAGGACAGTTCCTGAGGCTTGCGAGGGGGAAGAAGTCATGGGAACAGGATGCATCACTTTCAGTATGACTCCCTGGAGCTGGATCAAGGATACAACAAACTGGTTCCAAAAAATATGGTATTCCGTATTCCCAAAATTTCCCGGTGTGCACAAACATTATATATATATATATGCGCCGCATTTCAATCCCAACAGCCTCCTTGCGGTCTTTGCACATCAATTTTTGTCACGTTGCCACCTCCACTACTGCCATCACCACCACGGTAGGCCCTTCTTTGGTTTGGCGGTTTGGCTGCTTGGCTCCAGCGTTTGAAGGACATCAATTAGAATGGAGGCAAGCCTTGCTTCGGCTGCACCGCTCTCCACACTGCTCTCCACCAGGCCACATGCCCGTGTGGGCCGACAAAGCCAACCCCAGGAAGAGCGCGGAGCGCAAGAGCCTGGACATGTTCTTGGCGTCGTCGCACAGGAAGATCTGGAACCTGAGGAGGGGCCGATTGGTGCGCTGCAGTCGGTGTGGCATTCGGTGTACAAAAGAGTTGGACATTCTGCAGCGAACCGTTCTCCTTGAGCCGTTCTCCTTCTTTTTGTGCAGATGGTTGATTCGGCTTGATTCATCCTACGCCCCCCTAATCGAATGGATTAACCAAAATCCTGGTCCGGACGGCCTCACCTGCGGAAATGGTCCGGCGAACTCGGTGCAATTCTTCGGATGGAAGGGGGTCACTACTCGGTGAGGCGAGACCGCTTGAGGAAGCTGTCTTCCAGTGAGCCAAATGGTCATCGTATGTCGTCCATCTTCTGGCAAACCAGGTTACGGGCGATGCATCCAGTCGGGGATGCTCCTTGGACGTTGAAGCACCAAGAAATCATCGGAGTCAATGGCCACTCAAACTAGAGCAGGGAATCAAGGGAAGCAAGGTTTGGACTAGAGCTTGAATGTTGATTTTAATGTTTTGCTCGGCCCGATGTTATTATGTCCCCACCCCAAAAAAATACAATGATTTTTCTAGTACAAGTTCTATGTTTTGAAGTTGCCTGGGAGTTAATTAATTAACCTTTCCCCAAATTCTAGTCCCAAAAAACCTCTATAAAATCTATATACATTCCTCCACCTGGTCACTGCAAAGCCAGTGCTCGGGCCTCAATTCCTATGCTCACAAGGTAGTGGGATTTCTTGGCGGGTTCGAGCTGCAAAGTCCCTCTGGGTGTTTCTTGTTTCGGGCGAAGCTCAGTCCCGCCTTTCCAAATGGCCTTCTCCGGTGAGCGGATGTGTTTTGGAAGAACTGGCGATAGGGTGAGTGACGTTACTGCGTCACCTTCTCCCCAATGAAGTACCCGTCCCTGCAACAACCC